ACTGACTACGCTGACTTAGTTATCAGACTTCTTTCGGTTATAACTTACCTTTACGGATCACGAAAACGTTACCAAATTCTTCATTTGTGTATTTTATTAGGTTCATTACGTATTCTTGGCTTATTCGTTGAAAATAACTGTGTTATACCGTCACGGCGGACTAATCGTATTTTTTTATAGTTTGCTTTCATGGCGTCATGCTTCGTTGTTTTTCACGAAAAATAGTACAGTGACTAGTTGACTACGTTTTCATCGTCTTCGATGATGGCCTTAAAATAAAAGTGAATTTCCATCCAAGAAATGAGTCTATTTATGCAACAAGCGTCGGCGTCGCGGCTGTAGTGTTATAGGTCGTGCGTACCGCACATAGGAACGGAATGTTTGGTTTGAGGAGTCGCAAACAAACTCATAATTATTCCGAGAACAGTAGCTCGTACACAATGTATGCTTTAAGCGGCATTATCTCTGACTCAAGCAGCTTAAATTGCATTATGTGGCAGTTGTTGTTGCAGTGCTTTACTGCGATTGTATTCGCCGCACAATAACACCGTAACACTGGAAACTGAGTGTCGGATTAGTTTGAGCACCTACGTATGCTCGATACTTCGACACTCGATGTATCCACCTTGTTTGCCCGTAAGTGTTACAAACGTGATAACAATGTTGCACTGAACGTGTATTTTTGTGGTGCTTGCTATTTATTTATTTGAAACAAGCTAGTACAGAAACTGCGCCTACATATCTATCAGCAGCATATCATCCTACGCAAGGTGTGAGAGTAAACTCCAGGCAAATGGGTTAGAGTTGTCTTAAACTCAAAAATGTATGGGAGTAAGTATGAGGAATTTAAATCGACAGCATTACAGCCAGCAGTTGGTAGATATAATGTAGTACTAGCTTTTACTTTGTCGGTTTCGGTTGTTGTGAATCTTGTCCCGTTTGATTGTTTTGTGTTTTGTCAGAGGCAGTGCTTATTCGACAGTTTATGGGTGGCAGTTAAATATACCCGTCTCGGTTTGTCGTCACAAATAGAATTTTGGCACTGACTGTCTGTAGTTGTGTAATTCATGTATAAACCACTTGTTCAATCCAAACTATCTATTAACATTAAAACGTAACAAGTATGACGTGTAATAAATTATATAAAATGCCTAATTAATGTGAATTAATTTATTAGAAATAATTGTTATTGATACAACAATATCGTCACCTGGCTTATATAGTAGTATAATAAATGTTTCAATAAAATTTAACTTGCTTGAACGGAGCAAATGATGGTTTCGGTCCCCCACGTAGAGATGTATATTTTCTTGCAATATTTGCCCTTAATCGATGTCTTCCGTCACCACTGTTATTTTCCATGGCATATGTATTATTGTCGATGGCTGAGTAATTAGCCGGCACGTCCTCGTTCTAAATCGCCACCTTGACCTCGTTATGTTACTTTACGATGTACTATCTGGTTTTATACTTTTCTCTTCAAAAAATAATAAAACGACAGGTGCAAGTTGTACTGACACAGTAATTACTTGTCAATTCTTGTTTTTATACTCATTATATAGTAGTAGTACTACTTCTACTACTAGTTGACCCATTCCGTTATGGTGTAATCGTATGTTGTTCTGGAAGGTAATCGACGTACCGGTACATTATATTTTACAACGTTATACACAGATTGTATACGGCCGTGGTTTACTGCCAAATGCATTTCCAATAACGACGTGAGCTTCGAAGCTCCGTGCGTACAAACGTACATACAGTCGGTCTCGTGGTGGTGTGTCGTATCGTCCGTACTATATTATTATGACCGTATGATTAACGCGGAGGTGTCGTCGACAGCGATTAGCTAGGTGCGCCGACCACATGAACCATGTTACCGTTATCTGCTGACAGCATCTTGGACCCGTGACAAGTAGATTCCACTTTCAATTTCTGACTTTATTTCAATTAGCTATTTGCTTGTCATGACCAGTTTGGTAAAATTACACACTCAAATTATAATAATTTAACTCACTAAAGTGTCTGGAATATCTTTAGTTTTGTCAACTGTCACAGATAGTTAAAACTGCATCCATAACCAATCTGTTTTAAAACAATGTCTTAAAATAAACGTGAAGTATAATTCTTTATAGAATTAAAGCCGACGGCCATTAATTATGCAACATGCAAGTGTAGACATATTTCGGCCAGCATCTAAAATAATATTCTGAAACTCGACATGATAGATTTTCCATTCTCGCCCAGTTAAATATAGTAAAGTATTTATTTTTATTTCATAGAAAAGAATCCAACATACGTACCCCACTTATAGCTTGTTTGACAGTAGATACACGAATGATACTTTTATAAATTGTTTGAACGTTACAGGTGTTTAAACTGTCAAACACGGCGAGGACACCGGTGACCGCAACCTATTGTTCTTTAATTGTGTCTATAATGACGGTACTCAACGAGTTAAACAAGGAAAATTTAAACAGAAATTGCACAGCGGTTCAATAAATATAAAAAGTTCATAATGAACTTAACGCAATCATATTTAACGATGCAGCTAAGCGCTGAGTCACGAAAGATCGCATTGGTGCTGTGAGCTTACTGGCCCGTGAAATAACCTAATTTCTCAGTTTATTATTGCAATATTTCCGAATGGTTCTTTGCTAATGTATGAAAACTAAGTTCTTTGTAGATCCAAGTTAAGCATGTTCAACAAATACGTTATCGGTTAATAAAATAGGCGTAATAAAATTTAGTTTATAATGAAGTGTTCTCACATATACGCCCAATAAAAATACAGCTCGCCACGCACGCTTTCGACCGGGAGCGTGTCGGTGGATTTCATAAGACATATCTGTTAAATTAATGTGCTGCGCGGCATCCAACGTTAAGCATTCCCAAATATATTCTAAAATAAAGAGTGTCTCAGACGGTGCGGCATTGGAACCGAATCTATTTGCATTATTTTATTTAGTCGATGTCACGTACACGTTGAACATTTACTAAGCATGAATTTGTTGAGATAAACGTTATACATTATATATAGTAAATATCTGTAGACGTATGATGATTCGTGACTAAGTGCCTGGTAATTTCCATTTCCATAATATCATACGTCTTTCAAAAACAATATTTATGTCTAAACTCTACATTTGAACTGAAAAAAAGTAAATTGATGTAACATCTCCATTAAATTCCAAATTCCTGACGTAAGAAGTTCCTGTTGATAATATCTCTATGTAAACTGTAGAATCCATTCCGTCTCAGGTGTTGTGGAATAGATTTGTTTGGACATCATTTATTTCTTGACGTAGTATAAGCGCTGGAAGTGGTTGGTACAAAATTAACGATTTTGACGTCAATGTTTTAAAATGCAAGAGAAAAGATGCTCGTTCAGTGAATCAGTGCATACGAATCTAATCCACATCTATCTCTACAGATGGTGCATTTTCTAATTCTTCCGACTTTATTTTAGGAAATTATGTAACTTCTCTCTGTAGTAATTCTCTGTAATACAGCCATGGCGGATGATAAAAATAGCTGTTTTTATGCATTGTTTATGTTTTGTTGCCGATTCGTTATAGCCGGAACATAATTCAATTAGCCGAGCAATACATTGTTTACCTGATTATTACTCATTCTTCTAATGAATTTGGAAATACTTTTTCCCCACAGTTTAAAAATGCGAATATTTGGCATGCCAGCGAAACATGGCGTCAATAATAATCCTCATTTTGGCAAACATCTAGATCGGTCATGCCGTTGTTGCAATAATTTATGCATAGCAGTAATTTATATAGAAATACTTATATGAATTGTTGCCAATCCACTAATTACAACTAATATAATACATACATGCTGTTAATTCTGTTTGACTCATATTTTTAAAAATATATAAAAAATAGATAAAATTTTCCACAAAAATTGCAAATACAAATATTTGTATTTATGATTTATGTAGTGCAGCTGCGGGGGCTCCAGTCAACTGCACATATGTTAATTTTGTATAAATGAGTCAGGACCGAAGACCAAGCCAAGTTACGTAATAACGCGCCCATTCATGGCGTAACGTCGCCAAAAGTGAAATTTGGTTGCGATGGCCACAGGGTTGTACATACGTACCTACGTGTCTTTAACTGACCGGATTGCAATTTAGGGAAATCAAGTTAATTGTGTCAGTGAACACGTGTTCGCCGGAAATGCCAGGTTTGTTTAGCTTGCAGATTTATTTCTGTCTATACGGTGTCATCTGGGGGCGTCATCCTCTGAGGCAGTCCCGCCTGGGTGCGCTTGGCGCTTGTTGACGTGAATTTCGCAACGTCTCTTTCGATGCGTTCCCGCCGATGGAAATACATGCCATATGAATGCGAAATAATCAGAATAATTGGGATGGTATTTGCAACATCGCTTTGAAGCTTGACGATTAATATCACATATCTTCGTTTGCGATCCATCTAGCAACAAATCTTTCTCAACTATTTAAAATTCGGAGTGAAGATCTTTTAGAAAAACTTAATTTTTATTCAATGACCAATGATAATTGTGAATGAATTGAATGAGTCAAATAAAAACTCCCTTTTAGCTACCTTTTCAAAAGTAAGGCCACTTTGTGAATTTAGTTTTTTTATTTATATGATACGGCAAAAGGTTGTATTCTTGAGACAGATCAAATCGACGCTGATTGGTTAGTTCAAATAGGAACGGATTTTTTCTTATTAGGAAACTATACTCCAAGTTATCTTATTTGGTATCAAAATCCATCTTATGATATGTAAATGTTCTGATAAGAATTTTCCTGACAAAAAAGATTCTTTCCTGATAGATGAATGCATCTTGCAAAAAGTCTTCTTTTGTGATGAAATCTTTATTTCTTTATTTCTTTCAAAGTATCTTCAACCGTTAATTGGACAGGTAGTTAAGAATTTTCCAAATTCCCTATTTTTGCATGTTTTGTTAAAACAGAGTTCATTTTACGTAGATAATACTGACTTACAACATTTTTGACACAGATGTCGAAGATAGAGCGAAGTGGAGGAGAAAGACGAGGAAGACTGACAGCATCATCATATCAAACTAACAGCCAAGGACAGAGAGGTTGGCACTAACAAAACTTATAGCTACGTTGTTCGATTACTTTTTATTTTTAAACGGGACCCTGTTAAATACATACTTAAAACTTTAGAAACGAATTACAATGATGCATCAGTAACATTATGTAACTCTCAAAACTTTGATTTGCTGTAAATGTTTCTTAAATGGTCTATTCTTGTACTAATTGTTTCCAAATTATGACTGACCTAATTTTAAAAAACTGTTCGACATAAATATTGGCAGTGCGTTTCTTAAATACTGCCTACGTTAAATCAAAAAGCTGTTTCATCTTTCTTAAATGACATGATGTTGATTAATGGCGTATAAATGTCAATCTTTTTTACTAGTTCAGTTCAAGTATGTAAAATTTTAACAGGGTCAATCCGATTTATGTATGTAGCTGCTTCTTTTATGTTATTTAGCAGAGTTCTTAAGAATTTGAAGTTGTTTACGTTTATTGGTAGAATTTTTGCCCTAAATGGTACGTCTTCTAATATTGTGTTCATGTTTATTAGCTTTTGGTGTTATTGTCTGTTTAATATTCTTAGTTAGTATTCCTGATGTCTTGAAGAAAATTTATTTATATTTGTAGTTTTATTTCTGTTGCAGCTTTTACTTTTCATTTAGGAATTAGTCAGTTACTGGACAAAATGCCAACTTGGGTCTCGAAATCTACATGAGTTAGGCCGGTGTTCGCGTTCCTTGGTACACCGCCAGAATGACCGATCCTTTTGGCTTGTCGATACGATGGTAGCCCGCCGTCGGCTAAAATAATGTCAGTTCAGAGATTAACGAACTTCAGCCGCCTGACCTATAAAACTGGTGCAGGTAAATTCATACCTGTAACTCATTGACTATATCTCCTGCATCGATACGCGACACAGCTTGCTAATGGCTACATTTGAGTTACTTTAATTTTTAGGCTTATTATTTGAATCTCCTACTGGAAATTATTGAGTACATTGGTTTAATTTGTAGGGATATCATTTTTTTTTTCTTTTTGTTGTCGCGAGCGCAATATGTAAACGCATATTGGTTCTTTATTGTTCTTTTGGGATGTTTATTGTCAATCAATATTGCATATAACATTTGGAGATATCGCAAATTATGCTCTTTAAGTTTATAACTAATAATAGGGCGATAATATTTAGTGTACGTCGTAACATGTTCATGGTCGTAACATTATGTCAACACACGATTCGATCGAATAAAGCAATGCCTACAATGAAAACAGCATCTCCCATTAAGTTTACCGCATTTGATGATATGGTCGGACACATAATATTGTTTTCTTTAGGGTTTTGCTCGTGCAGACTGTAGCGTAGGTGGGTCGTATCAGGCGATGCTGTCAAACTTGTTTACGAACTTTTGTCTATTTGCGTTCTCCCCAATTACTGTACTGCTTTCTGACAATCGTATTCAAGCGCCAGAGAAACGTTTAAACTTTTGCCAACGCATAGTGATGTATTATTAAGATTATTTTTATATCGGAAGAATTTACATTCCTAATCTGTATGTGAGTTTATATTCCTGTTGAGCTGTAGTCGATTTGATAACCTTCACCGTACCATAATTCTATTATCGTAAACTCACTGCACCGGGATAGCTAGTTTTAAGTTCGAGCCCCTGAAAAAAGTCTAGCGCGGTGATTACTTTCGATCGCCCAAAAAAACAATGTCGAGAATTGCTCCATTTAAAATTTATTGGTACTAAAATTATAAAAGCAAATGTTTCGCATATTTTTATTTCCCACTGAATTTACTGAAGACATTTTTACTGTAGTTAAATCTGTTTAGCGCACTGCTATTATTATTTTACTTTGTTTGCGATGTACTGGGAGTTCCTGCAGTAAATAGAACCTATTGCCAATTTGCGCCAGTACACAATTTTGAACATAGTTGGTGTAAGGAATGTTTACATTACACAAACCATTTGTTTCCGTGCAATTATAGTTGTATTATTTAGGCCGTAGCAGTACACTAGTTTACTAATTGTTTGTTTTATATTTTCAGGTAATTAACCTTCACGTTCCTTCTTTCTGAACAACTAAATGCTTGGCACAATATTTCGGTAAGTCTGGGCTGGGGACAGTATTACGTGACTAGTTGCACTCTCTGAAACGCTATCTGCGCGACGCGACGCTATTGTTGTTAGGTATGTTTAGAGATTGCACTGAAACTATTTAAATAAACATTTAACATGTAGACACGTCCAGAAAAATGATCATTCCGATGATACAAGTAACAATTCCGAAAACTAATAGAACGTGGACTATGTAATGTATGTTAAATTTTTGCTTTCGACTAACTAATATGTCTTTGGCCGTACAATAAATACACAGGCAAGCAGAATTCTTCAGTGCCTTAAATTGCTAGGAACTAATTTACGTGACAGGTGTACAAATGACACTTCTCTCCCGAGCGCGGAGCGTGTCTTCGAATACCACGTTCTAATTTACTATGTTTATGTTGGCTGTTTATTGATAAAATTAATATGAAAAAAAAAACTGCACGCCAACTGTCCACTTTACAAAATTAACTTTGTGAAATTTATTTTGATATTAAAAATCTTTGAAGCTTTGCCATATTATAATAATCTAATACCTAATTTAAATATGATCCGGAATAAAATTCCACTGATTTAATTTTCACTAGTGTTTCTAAATACTGGTGTCGATGTACTTTGTACAAAGTTTCCTGAAGACTACCTTCTCCTGAAATTATTGACGGATTGCATAGAACTGATACATTACCTATAACTTTATGCCAAATGCTATCTCTTATTTGTTAAATTGACGTCTTAGACTAACGTTTTGTTTCAAGTTTCCGTTTACTTTAACTGGTAGCTCATTCACACAGACTCGTTAAAACATCCAAGCTGATCTTCCAATTGAAATGAGAAAGCGAGAGATTTTCCTTCTATTAGGCGTATGAAATAGAGATATACGAGATTAATCGAATTGTATAGTACATAAAAGCCATTGTACTTCGAGTCAACGTCTGAGCTATTTCTTGAGAAGCAGCTGTTATTAATTCTATTATCGTGTTTCGAATTATATCCGCCAAGCTGTGCAAAATGTGGGGCGTTTTATTTATCTGGTCGCTAAGCGCATTCAGCTCACCCACGCTGCACGCCGACCAAAACCAGCATTTTTACTTCGGTAATCATTATAATATCTTATAGTACACTTTTATCATTGACGTCTGTGCTAAGTAGTTTCATAAAATTAATGGAATTGAATCTCGTGTGATGATCTAATAGGCGTAGGCTATAGATTTCCATCACGGTGTTTGAGCTTTTGATCTTTCAAATAAATATCTTTCAGGATATGTTCTACCTATTCCTTAGATTCTCATGCCCTGCATGAATGTAAAGTACATGAATGTGAACTGAGTCCAAGAGAGAAAGGCTGGTTCTATATTTCGATACAAGATACTTTTATAAAATTAATAATTTGTATTAATTAGCATAAATCTTCATGAGTCTGCATCGAAGGCAGTGTTGCATGCAGCTGCGGTTCCGTTAACCGCCTAGTGTTGAGGCTGTTGCTCCGGTTCGCGTGCCGGTTTCGTTTATTATTACTAAGTTTTACCCACGGTTTTGCCTGCGAGACTTTCGGCATTGAACAATGTTGCTCGTGGCTCAAACCTCTTTGCACATATCTTCTTTCTTTCTCCTGGCCTTTTCCCAACTAGGTTGGGGTCGCCATCGAGTCCCAACCAGATTCGGCGGAATATAATTATTTTACATGGAGATAATTCTTTCTGTATTATATTTTTTTTGTGCAAGAAGGTTATAGACCCATTTTTTCGGCAGCAAACAAAATTATAAATATTTTCAATTTATTAGAACTTACATACGCCATAACTAATAAATAAATGTCGGCTTTTGTTCCATAATACCTACATATAAACATCCAACTTGTTTTATTGCCATCTAAACGCTCGTAAACAAAATAAAATCGTTTGAGCAATCGTTACAAAACAATCAGAATACTTTTCACTAGTTCTATAGAACAAGTCCCTTGAGATAATCAAAATAAAGTAACGACCGAAAGTTAAAAGAAATTACTCGGCTGGCTCATCTATGTTTGTACCTACAACAATACGCTTACACAAATTCACCAGTTATTTTTTTTTTCAAATCGACGGCATATTTTGCGGGCGGCTTGTTTTTCGCCTCACAGAAATAGACTAGTCCACTACTTTGCTAAATAATAAGAAAAATCTCGGGATTGGCCGTGTACGAAATGACCATCCTCATCAATCAGCTGCTTGGAGTGAGTCCAAGATTTTTTCCACGTTTAGGTTTCGTAGATTAGTTCGATAATTCAATGTACTCCTTGTCCCCTTCCTTCGCTGCTGTGCAACACACAAATCTCATTATTGTTTTATATCTTTAAAAATTTCCTGTTCATCTAGACAAAGCAATTATTTTAATAGAAACACGCACAAAACTCTTGCTTTTATGTCTGAAAATAAATGTTTCTGACCATTGCGTCATTACAGTTAAACATAGTCAAAAGCAAATATGTGTGCAGAATATTTACTTAGGCACGTTATTAGAGGAAATTATGATAGTAAATTTTTATTTTATGTTTGAGTTCATTAATGATTTGAAATAAGTTCGAACATAAACGTGAAATATGCTTAGGAAATTGAAATTTTCTAGGAAGTTAATCTTATTCTGAAGTAATTAGCAATTTAGTATAAGTAGGAGTATTTTGAACATACCAAACTATTTTGGATGTTGTTGACGGACGCTAATGGTATTTCTGTACTTTCGTTGTCGTGAAAAGTTCGCAGAGACAGATCGAATGAAGTGTTCACGACACCTTTACGCAATTCCTGTCTCACGCCTTAGCGCTTGCCAAGGCGTACGTCATAAGCGTCGACATTTTCACACGCAAAGGAAAGTGGAACTTCAAGACATTTGACTGTTGAGTCTATTTTCTCGTGGAAATAACTTTACTAACGTCTGTAACCGGTACAGGTGACTTCAGT